CAGTAAATAAGAGCTGTGAGGAAAACGCTGAGATTTAAACAGCAGAATAAGAGAATAATACTGACTCTGTGCTTGAAGCGTTGGGCTCGCTGCCTCCTTACGGCTCAGGTCGATGAAGTAATGCGTCAGTCGTGACGTGTCCTCGCGGCCGTTTCCCAGGTGATCCGGAACGAGTCACAGCTCACCTCGGTGATCTCAATATTATGGGGTGTGGAGAGGAGATCCGCCTCAGCCATCACCTGCGGGAAAACAACACGGCAAACTGTCGAACGGGGAACAATATAGTAAAAACAATCTACTGACATCAGAGGAAATTTATACTTTAGGATTTAGCATTAAGCTTTGTATTAGTAGGAAACCTGTAGTATTTTCGAACTACCGTGCTTTCCATCCTCATATCCCCCTGAGACGAGAGATTTATGTATTTTTTGTCTGGAAAAAATCCTCCAGAGGTCCAGAGGCTAAAGACTACAGTCAGTAGTCGGGTCTGTCCCGCATGTCCTCAACCCGCCCATAGAGGGCGATCTCACTCACAGAATTAACACATAGTGTCGGCCATCTTTTTTGGAAGCTAAGCTAGCAGGCTCTTGTTCGGTGGAGAAAGCTGAGTAGTCGGGGATACCGTTCTCCCGCGGCCCTCACTCGTCCCGCTCGCCACAGTAAACATGATGAATGATGTTGAACTATATAACATTGATTCGTTTTATGTACATTTGTGAAGATCTCGGCATCTCGAAAGATGTTGATCTTTGTTTTAGTTCTCCTTTTGTCTTAAAGTCTGTTTGACGTGGTCCATAATGTTTGAACAAAACAACAAGAGCGTGAAAGTTCTGCTAAACATAACCCAGTTGTCCACGTCTGTCGCCATGGTTACTATGGCATTATGAGCGGAAACCGAGTGTAACGCGGATATGCAACGCTTTTCGCTTACGTTGGTCATATACTAACACTTTTGCCAATCCGTAGACATCCAACACACGTGGCACCCTTTAGCGTCAATATAGGGTAGGTTTAGGTCTGGGGTAAGGGTTAAGGCCAATTTATACTTCTGCGTAGGGTGCGCGCAGTAGGTACGGCGTAGCATACGCACAGACGCGTCCCATACCGCGTACCCTTCGCCGTCGCCTGACGCGCACCTCCTCAAAAATGTAACTACACGTCGCGACGACGCGGACCGCAAGATCGGTGATTGGTGGTAGCATCGCATTTCCTCCTATACGCATTTCCGCACGTACCTTCTCACGCATTTCCACCACTGTCTATGATTTCCACACGTTTCATCTCCTCCGAAGTCTTCTCTCATTTCTGCCTTTCAGTTTTAGTAATTTCACTAAAGTGAACTGTTTTTCCACCTTAATAAGCTCCAATTCCAACATGATCAGCTCTCTTTCACTCGTAGTAACCTAGCCGCGAGGAATCTAAACACAGTGGAACATTAAAACTCTCCGCCGCCAACTAGCGTTTCGGAGCAGTACTGCAGAGCAACCAAGACCTGAACGCAGAAGTATAAATGCTCACAACGGCGTCGACTACGTGCGTAGCCAACGCCGTACACTACGGCGTACCCTCGACGCAGAAGTATAAATTGGCCTTTAGGGTTAGCTCCTCACTATCCGCGCTGAAGCTGAGATCGTTCACCAGCTTTGTGGAACGTTATGCGTGTGTACATTTTTTTTGACACGTACATTATACGTCTCATCCTGACGTCTTCACGGGATTTTCACGGGTTGTGTGTGATCGCAGATCCCGGCAAATCACTGGCAGTGTGAATGAACCGAAATCAAACAATCCCGAGACAAATGCCGGGTCACATTATCCTTGTATTTTGTGTGAAAGGGGCTTTTAAGTATTAGTTTGTAGTAATTAATTAATTCATTAATTAAATCATTTTGTTTAAAAAAACTACTATAGGGAATTCGAAAGCCTATCGGGTATCTAGTGGTAACACCATTAAATTACATGTTTTTTATGTCTTTTCTCTCACCAGATGGCGCTAATCTGCCTTCAAAAAATGGATTTCAAAGACCTAATCCCTATCTTAATCTAAAATACTGCATTAAATGAATAAGTATCTTACAATTCTATTAAAATTTAAAAAAATAGTACTACTGAACAAAAATAAATTACATTGATTTTACTGGAGAAAAAAAACGTCACTTTACATTGCAATCTCCAATTAAACTCAACTCTGTTGCCATCCACCCTGTTACTTTTTCTGAAGACATAATTATATACCTAAATTACATAGTATTTTAATTTAGCCTGAGATGGCACGATGCAGTCTATTAACACAAACACATTATAGTGGAAAACACTCGTTTCACAAAATGACCCAGCAGCTCCAGCGTCTCAGAGGACGGATGATAAACAAACTCTGTGAGTGATGCTCTCTGCCTCCAGTGTGTGTGTGTGTGTGTGTGTGTGTGTGTGTGTGTGTGAATGAGGCTGGGTGTTTGATTAGCTGTCATTTCCTGTTCCTGCGACCAGTGACCCTTGATTAATGCGAGTCACAGAATCTATTATCTGCCCTTGTGCTCTGAGAAAGAGCCCATAACTCTGAGAGAGAGAGAGAGAGCAGTGATTAACATGCACCTCTCTCTCTCTCTCTCTCTCTCGTTGTCCTTTCACTGCCCTCATATTTTCCCCATATCAGTTGTCCTTTGATTTTGCTCTTTCACATTTCAGTTTTAAGACTTATCAAGTGTCCAAATGAGTCATGTAAAATGTTTAAATGTCACAGATTTGTCCTGTTTTGTAATAAATCTTCCATATGGACAGTATGCTGAAACAGCAATGCCAAGAGCGGACCGCTGTGGAAATGTTGGACGGCACAAATGTGTGTATATGCCAGAAAATGAGAATATGTTTAACAGCAAGTATTCACACATGATTGCTTTGGCACACAAACATATGGCATCCCTTGTGGTAAAGAAGTACACTATCAAAGATTAATAAAAAATAATATACTTTAGAAGAGTATACTTAAGTGTGTGTGAACTGAATGCAATGTTTTTGGCACTTATGTGCATGTTTTTTTGTTTTTGTTTTTTTTTTGCAATTGTTTGAAAATGTATTATAGTTTAAATTTATATTAAATGCAAATAGTTAAACTTAAAAGTGCTTTTTTGACCCACTTAAGTATGTATTTTATAATTATTTCTATGGTCTTTGAAATATGTGCTGCCGAATATACTGACACACATTAGTGGGAAACTAAAATATACATTAATGTGATTTCTGTTTATGTTATTTTTGTAATTACACATTTATAATTGTAATTTAGTACATTTAAAATGTACTTTAAATGTAATATTGAATAATACACTACAGTTACAATTACTTTGTAAGTATTAGGCTACTTTAATGTGTTCAGAAACATAGTCGTGAAAGTGTACTAAAAATATATGATTTGAAGTACACTACAAGTGCATATCCAATACAATTAAGTGCACTTCTTTTTCAGTAGGGATACGTGTGTGTGTGTGTGTGTGTGTCTGTGTGTGTGTGTGGCCTGAAGTAATCATCTGCTTTGCCTCATGATGGAACGCAATCTAAAACATTAATTTAAGATGAACAAATTGAGTTCACTCACACACACACACACACACACACACACACACACACACCACACCACACACACACACCACACACACACACACACACACACACAGCAGTCAGGCTTCTCTCTTCTTGCTGCACATGCAGATTCACACACTGTCATGTCATGGAAACACATCAACTCTCCAGAGTCAGCCTTTTATTCAGAGGGAATTTAGGACATAATACATATCCTCACAGGACCTGCATCAAAGCTGCAAAACACACACACACACACACACACACACACAGCACTGCTGCTCGCTTTCTATTTTAGAAGCGTTTGAACATTTTTAACTGACTTTTGCTCTAGTTCTCAACAGAAAATCAAGATGCCCAACACACACACACACACACACACACATTCTCTGTGATCAAAACAAGCCTCAGGAAAGCAGGTGAATCTTATGAAAACATGTGCAAGTCTCATTTTACCCCATAATACAAAAGAAAAAAATTAAACAAAAGATATATTGCATAAAGAAAATAAAGCTTTGTAGATTTTCTTAGTAGATTCTTGTTTAGATTTTAGTGTACTCAATATATATATATATATATATATATATATATATATATATATATAATATATATTGAGTACACTAAAAAT